TGATTAAATTAATTTCTCTTGAGTGTTATTCCAATAGCTAAAAATGTAATTTATACCAGGTGAGTTTTATTTTGGTAGTCCACTTCTGCTTGTTGGCAAGCAAGTGCAAATTCACATTTAGATAAATATCTAAATATTTATCTCTGCACTACCTAAATATTTAAGCTTGCTAACTACTTTGACCTAATTTGAACTAATATTTAGTTAAATAGCTCCTCAGTAACTCTGAGCATCAATGGCTCCAAACTAAATATTTAGCTTGCTAAACATACAGTTAGATGAAAAACTCAGAGCTAATTGCTCCCAACGTTTACATAACAATGGCTCTGAACTAGAGTTAGCTTGATAGTTAAATATTTAAGTTAATTTCCACAGCTAAATATTTAGTTTGCAGATTAGTTATTTGATTTTTTTTTTTTTTTACAAATGAATAAATAACGTGGAAAAAAAACTTTAGCCCCTTTAGACAGGCTAAATGAAGGGAATTATTACTGCCAGTGGATCATACATGTAGTCATAAAGTGGCCAACAGTAACATCTAACAACAGTAGACATGCTCGTTGTGTCGCCACTAGGGGGCGGTAAAGCGCAAAGCTGCGTCAGTGCAGAGCTTCTGAGAGTAAAACCTTGACATTGGATTCAGCGGGAGAAATGCTCACCTCCTCAGGGCGGAGACGTCTCCTGTGTAGGCAGCGAACAGCAGGTTGATGACAGACTTCACCTGAGGACACAATCACAGACATCAGGCCCACAAACCGATGGCTTCCGGGTGGAGGACAAACCGCTGCGATATGTTGGAGACGGACTGGTGGAGATGATCCGCCTCAAAATTAATACATTAAACTGTTTGTAAATATGAAAACCAATAAGATCAGTTTTGTTCACCTCTAAATTTAACCTTCTTTGAAGCGTTGAAGTTAAAGCAATAGAAATTAACCTGCAGGATGAATATAAATACTGTATGGATATAGAAAAATCTGACTTTTCGCATACTTCAATGCGTGAAACTCCTGAACATCTAACAAGTTGTAAAATCTCACCGTAGACATTTAAAATGGTCATGATGACGTTCTGGATTCCCAGGAGAAACCTAAAACTGGTTTATGAAGTTTCTACTGCAGCTCGTTATAAAACCCAGCTGTCATAACCATGGAGTCAGGATCCCCAAAGCTAGTTTTAATAAAGTTAAAGTGAAATAAGAAATCCACGTTTTCTATTTTTAAATTCTCAGATTATTTCCATTTTCTGTCTAGAATAAGGTAAGGTAAAAACTTTATTAATCCCACAGGGAAATTAAGATTGTCTGTTGCTCACACATCAATTCACATCCACACGCATTAAAACTGGTCTAGTAAAAGAACTTAAATACAATAAATACATTAAAATGCTAATTACTCCGTCTCCCTCCCTTAACCCTCCCAGAAATCACAGCATTGTAAAACCTAATGGCCGGTGGGACAAAGGAGTTTTTAATCCTCTCAGTTGAACATCCCAGTGAGAGAAGCCTGTCACTGCAGGAGCTGCTCTGGTTGGAGAAAACAGTATGGAGGGGATGCCTTGTGTTCTCCAGGACTAAACTGAGTTTAGACATTGTCCTCTGTCCCACCACTGTCTCCACAGACTCCAGGCTCACACCGACCACAGAGCCAGCTCTGCGGATGAGGCGATTCAGTCTCTGTATGTCCCTCTTCTTTGCACTGCCCCTCCAACAAACAGCATAAAATATTACAGTAGACACAATGGACTTATAAAACATGTACAGGAGCTTAGAGCACACACTGAAGGAGGCCAGTCTCCTCGAGAAGTACATTCTACTCTGTGCTCTCTTGGTCACATTGTCTGTATTGGAAAACCAGTTCAACTTATTGTCCAGTTGTAGGCCCAAGTATTTATATGTTCTGACCACCTCTACCTCAATGCCATCAATGGTGGTAGGCTGAGGCAAGAGGGGCACCCTACGAAAATCAAGAACCATCTCTTTTGTTTTAGAGATGTTCAGTTGGAGTTTGTCCTGTGGCCCCATGCTCCGAAGTCCTTCACCAGGCTCCACCCTCCTTTATACACGCCACAATGGCAGTATCATCCAAAAATGTTTGCATGTGGCATGTAGCCGAGTTGTATTTAAAGTCAGAGGTGTAGAGGGTGAAGAGGAGGGGCGAAAGAACCGTGCCCTGTGGAGCCCCTGTGTTGCTGGTCAGAATATGGACCTACAGTTCACCGTCTTGATGAACTGTGGTCTGTTGGTCAAATAATCCATTATCCAGCGAACCAAATGGTTGCTTAGGCGACCCTTTTTTGGAACAGGAACTATGCAAGATGTTTTCCATAGGGTGGGGACCACACCCAGTCGCAGACTCAGGTTAAAGACATGCTGTAGGTTCTCCCAACTCCACAGAACAGGCCTTTAGAACCCTCGGACACACCCGATCTGGTCCTGCAGCCTTACTAGGAGGGAGTCGTCTTAGCTCAGTCCGTACCTGGTCAGCGGTAAAAGAAGGAGGATGAGTGGTGAGAGCAAATAGTGAAGGTGAGCAGGAAATAACGGCAGAAGGGGGAGAGGTAGAGGTGGAAGAATGATGGGTAGGAGGGCTGGAGGGGAATTGCGAAAAGGTGGGGGTGGCCTGGGGGGAGCTGAACCGATTTAAAAAAGTGTTAAGTTTGTTGGCTCTCTCAGGATCCCCATCCGCTGTAGTGCCACTCTTACCACTACAGCCTGTTATAGTCTTCATACTGTTCCACACCTTTTGCATGTTGTTCTCACTAAACTTCTTTTCCAGCTTCCTCCTATACGTCTCTTCAGCCTCCTTCAGGAAGATTTTAAGTTCCCTTTGTGTCCTCCTGATCTGGTCAGTTTTTGTTCCTGAACGCTCTTTTTCCGGTTCAGGATAGTCTTTACTTCACTGGTAAAGACTAGAATGAAAATATTTGGATCATCGTTATTATTGGACTTCTAAGAAAAACTGTTTTAAATGTAAATAAAGTAATCAATTCATCCAACCACCTGTTCATCCAGCAGCTCTACTCTGAACTCCTCCCTGATGGTTAATAAACGATAAACTAAAAAGAAATGGGCCCAGTAGCAAACCCTGTGGCACCCCTTACTGATGTAACCCTGAAGCTCCGCCCCCATGATGATGACCAACAGCTTCAAACACCCAGTAGGAACTAAACTGCAATTTATCCCTGTGGGTTAAGTTAGAGTTGTGGAACAAAACAGGAAGCTGATAGATAAGAGCTTTATTTTATTTCATACATGAGACAAAAATGGCAAAACAAGAAAAATCAAATGAACAACAGACTGTCACGTCTGCTCCAATCAGCTGACAGGACAGATGATGGATTCATGGAGACTTCATACACAATCACAAACACCTGGAAATGTAAGGTTTCATTTGTACATTTAAAACCTGAAACAAGTTTATTTTCATAATTAAACATGAAATCTTTGGTTTGAGTCCAGAAACCTCACAGTTCCAAGTCAGACAGTAGCAGAAATGATCTCTATTCATCCAAGTTGCATCTGTAGCGAACATTTCTTAAAGAAACAAAAGGTTCAGCACGAGAATCAACATAAGAATGGAGAAAATAAAAACATTTAACATTCTGTACAAAACTCAGCATGCAGGATGAGAATTCAAAGAAACGGAATGACATGAGCAGAAAACAAAAACGGATGATTTTCATGAGAACAATCAGTAAAAGATTCAAAAGCTCCGCCGGCGTTAGCTCACACGCTGAGACGATTCATGAATCACGGCAGATCGTAGGGAAACGTCGATTTCAGAACAACAAACTGATTTAAAGTGTTACAAATTTAACTTTAGGCCCCCAAGGATTTAATGGAGCGCATCATGCAGAGTGGAAAAGCAGAAAATCAACGGCGTTTTAATTCATTCCTCAAAAAAAAAAATCTGAGTCAACAAATGATTTCCTGAGTTCCTCAGGGATCCATCCTCAGACCAGTTCCTTCCTTCCTAAGGAGACTTAAAATTCATGTCTACGCCGATGACACTGAGTTACAACTCTGCAATTTAACTTTGTATTCATTTTGGTTAAAGTTTTGTCTATTTACAGTGAAATCTTGCTGTAACCTGATTTAGCTTCAAATTGTCTCCAAGGGGCCTTAAAGCAGCTGAGGCTTTGAATCTTTATCTACAGACAAATAAAAGACAAAAATAAAACAGAGTAGAAATGTAACAAAGTAAAAAACATTTTCACATATCAGATTTTTTGCTCCAGCAGCTCTCTCTGTCTGAGCTCAACTCCATCCTAAAACCAGTTGAACGGCTCCAGCACCAACTGGTGCAGCCACCATTAAGCCCTTTCACCTGCAACGCCTTCAGGTTCCTGCAGGGGGCGACAGCAACCGGCCAAAGTTTCCATCCAACACAAACAAAAGAAGCCAGAAAGCAAAATACAGATGCTGCTCTGAGCATCGCAGAACGGATCAGGAATACTGACAACACACTGCAGGCCTGAGACCAGAACCAGAACCGAGACAGAGACCAGAACCAGAACCGAGACAGAGACCAGAGCCTGGAATAAAACGCTGCTGCATTCGTCTCACCAACAGCCATGAAGAAGAAACAGATCCACTGATAATTTAGTGATACAATGAACAGATTTCAGCTTGTTTTCCTTTCTGATCATTTAGTTGACCTTTGACCCTAGTGGAGGATCATGGGAAATGAAGAGGAGTACAGCATTGTGCAAAACTCTTCATCCAGACCAGGTTTAGTCAGACTTTCCTTCAAGCTTTCTGAGGATCTTTATGTTCAAACAGGTTTTGAGGTTTAAAGCCTCGTTTCTGTCAGTTATTTATAAAGCAGCAAAACTTCTGCAGATTTTCTGTAAACCTGCCGGATTCAGAAAGCAGCCGAGAAAAACGCAGAGTTAACCCGGAGCAGGAAGGAAAACCCGGAGCAGGAAGGAAAACCCGGAGCAGGAAGGAAAACCCGGAGCAGGAAGGAAAACCCGGAGCGACCGGAGTCTCAGCACCGACTGACTGAGGGTTGATGACAACGGAACATTTTGGATAAACTGCACTTTAGAAACGTACACTGCAAGATTATTATTGTTTTTTTCTGGAAAGTGTGGTGGGCATCTATCTGCATTCGGCCCAATTTACTGTGACGTCACTAAATAAAATCCAGTGCAAGCAACAAAAATGTTTTCGTTCCTCTACAGTGTTAATTTGTAAAAGTAACGAGACAAAATAAAACTAAACTCTTCCAGCAGTTAAAAGAGGCTGTGCACTGCTGCTCAGCTGGCTTAAAGAGACAAAATGAGGCTCTTTGAAAATATTTCTGCTCACTACAATCGTGGGCAGTCATGGTTGTGGGTCCAACGCATTGAAATTACACACGATAAAATGTTCATGATTAAAACCGAAAAAATTTACATTTTACTTTAAATTGATTAAAATAAAAGCAGAGAAATCGACTGGAGGTTCAGGATCTACTGCAGGAGGAAAGAATTAACAGCAGCTGATCATTAACACTTCAAAGTGTTATGGATAATGTACTTAAATATGGTAACTAAATAAATTTTATAGCTTTAAAATGTGACTTTTCTGTAAAATCCATAAATTTTCCAACTTTTCTAAACAAGATAAGTGCCTTATTTTCCTAAATCTTCATCCAAACTGTCAGTTTCCAGAAATTAAAACTCTTTCCAGCCTCCATGCCCTGAGCCTCCATGCAGATCACATCACCATGTCACTTATATTCTTGTGCAAATACCATCTAAATCTAAAATATTTCTGCATATCTGAACACAAACCAGTTCCCCATCCTCATTGGCTGCTTGCTTATTTGCCCCACCCCTTGGAGGCGGAGCCTCCTGTTGACAGAGAAACCCAGAAAACCCGGTCGGTTCTGCAGAATCTGGAGTGAGATGAAGCTGATGGTCAGAGCAAATATGAACCAAATGAAACAGTAAAAAGAGCTTCCCGACTCGTCCCCATAGCAACCGCTTCACAAACAATAAATAATGGTCTACATGGTTTATAAATATAAGTATGGGGTGGAGCAGGCAGTGGAGGTCAGGGGTCACTCGGCGACTTTGTCCATCCTATAGACTACAGTGGTGGAGCTGTCCTGGTCCGTCTCCGTGGGAGACACTTTTTTCCAGAACGGCGCTTTCAGAGCCAGCTCCTGCTGCAGGCTCTCGTAATCCATCGGTCCGAAGTGGTGCTGCGGTTTCAATCGACACGGATAATCAATTAGTCTCATTACCGATCACTTTGATCAGCAACAACAAAACACCTGGAGGAGTTTATCATCAACAGCTCGGATAGGCACGCAGCTCCGGTGGCCAAAAGGGCAGCGGCGCCTTGCTGCGCTGCCCTTTCAACAGCCGAGGTCAGAGGTCACCATGAACGCATCACCAGCCAGGAGCTACGCATACAGGCTAACACACACACACACGCACACACACACACACACACACACACACACACACACACACACACACACACACACACACGCGCACACACACTCTCTAGTTTTAGGGCCTCATCTCTCTCTAAATATTTAAATAGTTCACTCCAAACTAAATATTTAGTTTGAAACTGACATTGTAAATTAATGAACAACATGGTGGAAATGTGAAAAAAGAACCTCCCATGTTCTCTCATGAAAGCCGAAATAATCTAATTTAATTTTTTGACTAACTGTACAAACGGCATCCCATAATTTACATTGGCCTGGGAGAAATCCTGAGAAAGCCGGCCGACCTGTGGGGATCCTCAGGGTTCCATCCGTGGCCCGGTATGTTTTGATTTACCGTATTTTCCAGACTATAAACCAGTAAACATTCACATATAAGCCGCAGATTTCTCTGCCGCTCCAGGTTTTCCACAGCGATGCAGCAGAGGGGCGGACACCCAAAATCTGAGTCATAAAAGGTCAACTGAATATCACATTTATTACGGTTGAAAAAGAAAAAGTTGCCAAGTTTAGATTTAACTGAACTGATTACGGTAGTTTCCGAACGGAAACTGTGACAGTAAAAGTGCTGATCCTTCCTGTTGCTACTAGCATGTGCTAAATGAAAATGGACGCTTTCTTCTTCTTCTGCTTTAGATTCCAACGGCAGCTTGTATCCATTATTGTTGCACTACTGCCATCTACTGGATCCTAATATTTATACCTCAAATTCTCATAATGATCCCAGTATCATTTAAAAAAATGAAAAATCTTCTTTTTCCCCTCAATGCTGTTTAACTGATAAACAACATTCTCAAATATCAATTCCCTATTAAAACCTAATTCCATTTTAATGAGCACTTTCTTCTTTTATTTCCAATTTTGACTTCCAATGATTAATTTCCTGCTAAAGAGCCCCCTGGTGGTTGAAGAAAAATCCACATATAAGCCGCACTGGGCTATAAGCCGCAAGGTTCAAAGCTTAGGAAAAAAGTAGCGGCTTATAGTCTGGAAAATACTGTACATGCTTTTTAAAAAACATGGCATCCATCGCTATGGAGACGACCAACAGATCTATCCGACGGTCTTACTGGAATAAATGCAGGATGTGAAGCCACTTCATGAGGTCCCTGTTTTCTAGTCCTGACTCTCTGTGACCTCTGACCTTTAAAGGTTTATTTAAATCCTTTATGAAGAACCTGGATGTGACTTCTGACAATAACCTGACGTTAAATCCCGTTTCCTCGTCTTTGGCTCCTTGTAAAGGTGAAGCCGTTCCTCTGGGTTAGAGGGAACGCCGCCCAGTAAATCTGACCCGGCAACAGAAGGTGTATGAATATATTTGAACCTGTATGTATAGTTGTGACCCTTTGCTGATCCTTTCTTGATGAATATATGGAAACTTCACACCAGAGTGGCTTGTATGTTTTGGGATGGACTGCAGAAACAGACACTGAAGGTTGCCGTGACGACCGCTAGCTGATGGCCGACGCGGCGGTACCCCGTGGCGTCCTTACCCTCTGGTCGCCTCCCTCTCTGCGCGGGTCGTGCTTCTTGGTGAAGTGCCTCAGGTTGTCGTAGTTGTGAAAGTTGAAAAGTTCGACCAGATCCTGAAACAACAGGAAGTCGTTAGCTTGGCCTCCAGCAGGATGCTAACCGTTAGCCAGGACTCCATCACTGATTAAACAGCAGCAGTCCATCGACATCTGGAAAGTTTCCATTCAATACGCAGGATTTTAAGGGTTTGCGGTTGAAAAATAAAAGATTCTTCAGACTTTCAATCCAAATCATTTGTCCAATGTAGGAAATCTGGCCTGGTTAAACTAAAGCAAAATACAGAAGCAGAACCATTTAATATCATCAACTTCCCCTGCAGACCAGAGTATTCTAGAGACTGATGCGAGTCTAGAAGCTGAAGTTTGGTCCAGACTGGGCCATCAACATGAAAACAATGTTGCTAGATACGTTTCCTTTTTGGAAATGTTACTAAACTTATCGCTAGTTGCTTTCTTGGAAAAAAAGCATCTAGATATGTCAAACAAAATGTTTCATTTTTTGCACTGAGAAATAAAAGATGCTACGTTTGTTGACATTTCTGAAAAAAGTTGCCATTAAGGTCTGAAAAGTTGCTAAATGTAGCAGTAGCGTGTATAAGTTAGCATCAGTGGTTCTGTTGTCCTGACCACACCCCCTCTGCTCCGCCCGAGGTTTGGCCACGCCCCTCCGCTCTCTTGGCTCCGCCCACTTTTGGTGGAACGTTTCAGACGTTGTCGGGGCTAAGCTTTCTCATCAGGTTCAGATGCTCTAACCTGATCAGAGTAAACGTCCTGCGTTAAAAGGACCGGCAGGCCGGTTCTGTCCGTACCGTGCAGAACTGAATTCCTCGGACCGAGTTTCCCAGTTTGTCCAGTGGAGGCGACCAGCACATGATTCCCATCACGTTGGGAACAACCAGCAGAATTCCTCCGGCCACCCCGGACTTGGACGGCAGTCCGACCTGTGGCGGGGGGGCAGCAGAGCGGTTAGAGGAGCGAAACCACCTGGAGCGGATCGGGTCGGACCGGGCCGGGCCTCACATGGAAAGCGAACTGTCCCGAGAAGTCGTACATCCCGCAGGAGTGCATCAGGCTCAACGTGTTCCTCACCGCCTCCGGGCTCAGCACGCGCTCGCCCGTGATGGGACAGATGCCGCCGTTGGCCAGCGTGGCGGCCATGACGCTGGCACTCTCACAGGTCACCTCGATGGCGCACAGCTGGAGGCGCAGAGAGGAACCGTCAGCAAACAAAATGGAGGACAAACGGTGCAAACATGAGCTGAAGAAACTGGTCTGACCTTCAGGGAGGAGAGAAATAACAGAAGGTCATATTCAGCCATTCATATTTTAAACTTTTAAATGAAAACACTCACCTGGAAGTAAAGGTCCAGCACAGACGTCATGTCGGTTCCTTCAGGGAAACACTACAGACAAATATTAGACAGTTTACCACCAGAGAAACTAATGATTAATAAACGGATCAAATATTCAACATAAACAGCTTCATAAAAAAACCTTCCGCTAATGTTTGGTTCAGCTTTTATTTAACAAAAAAAAAGAGGATCCAGTGAAACATTACGTTCCTAAACTGGACACAGCTTCTAAAACTCTTCATGAAACTTGGTGATGTTTGTTTGGAAACAGGAAGACGACGGATCTGAATCTTTTAGATATTTTAGACATTAGCAAATGTTCTGATGTTGACATCAGATGCGAAATCTGTTACAAAATGTTGGTGTAGAAATTTACTGTCCATTTACTTGAATGACAATGAAAAATAAAAAAAAACCTTCCAGGAGTAACTTTACTGCGTGATATAAAGTATTGCTAATCCTGAGTCTAAACTCTGGATCCTCGACTCGCAGTGAGAAACTTTGATAAATGAAGAACAAACTTGTTTTTGTCAAAGTGAGACCTCCTGTTTATAAACCAGCTTTATTCCATTTTCTTGTTTTAGTTTCTTAATGTATGCATTATTTTACAAATATTTTATTTGGAAAGGTGTTGAATTTGTTATTTTGTGAATATTAAATTTATTTCTTAATTTTAATCTCTAAGATAAAATAATTTGGAAAGTTTTTGTCTGATACATCGTTTTTAAATCAGGAAGTATCCAGCTACCAGTTTGATTTAAACTAATTACTTTTGAGAAGTAAAACGTTCCTCTATGCCGATCAGACGATCCTTTACCAAGCGTAGATTAGAACTGCGTCGCCACAAGGATACATTGTAACATATTGTGCAGTTTTTCAGCGTTTCCACAGTTTAATGAAATTTCAGCAGATGTCCGACCTTCTTCTCCTTCAGGTAATATCCGATGGCGAAGTTTCTGTCTCCAGACTCGCGCTCCGACTGGAATCTGTCAGAGCAGAGAGCCGCGTTACAGGAAGCATGGAGGCGTCTGTTAGCGTCTGTTAGCGCTGCAGCCATCATCATCATCATCACATGATGATGAGTGTTTGCCAGAAAACACTCCCAGCATGCAGCAGAAAGCATGCAGGCAGCCGCCATCTTTACATAGACCAGTTCAATCACAGGACAGAACCAGGAAGATGATAAAAAAGTTAAACATCAAAAATGTCAAAAACAGAATTAAATTAGCAGAAATTCTTGTAAAAAACTAAAACTAAAAAAAAAACAACTGCAAGTAAAAGTGCAGGTTTTCTTTCCTCAGAAATGCATAATTTGAAACTAAAAAGACGAATATAACATTAAAAAGGTAAAATGAAAAACAGAAAAGAAATCAAGTCGTTTTAAAGTCAAAAGAAAATATTATATTTTTAAACAACTGAAATGTGTCTGAATCCTGACGACGCTTCATCCTCCACTACATGAAAAACATTTCAGGAACGACACCGTTTGTATTTTCACACCTCAGTGATTCACAGGTCAAAGTTCAAATTGACATAAATTCATTAAACCTAGAATTATTCTGGTTCTGGACTGAACATGAATGAAAGATCAGTGCTGCCAAAACAATTAATCAGATCAATCAGTTCACAATAATCAAAATAATTGATTAGTCTTGGTATTTAGACTCAAAAATAGACAATTTGCTAAAAAAGGAAAAAAATATAGCTTAATGTGCTAGTTTATTTTATCCAATTAATCAGAATAATTGATGACTAAAATCTTCGTTAGTTGGAATCAAAGCTGAGTTTCTCAGCTGGGTAAAAAAAACATGATTTTCATCAACATCGGTCCAATAAGTGAAGCCGAGCCGATGGTAAAAACCGATTTTATTTCCATTCTGAGACTCCTGTGACGCTGCATTGAATTTTCAGAAACACGGCTGTAAATGTTGCTGTAAATTTGACAAAAAGGACAAATTTACTCCTGTAAATGAAATGTTGAACTCTGATGTGCGATTTCTGCCTCTGCAGAGATATTTTAGAAAACCATCCAGGACTTTCACTCAGATAATCTGGGATTAGCAATCTTATAATTTTCAATAGTTCAGACATTTCATCCCTGCTGATGGTAAATATTATTGTGTGTTGATTAAATGCAGAGACTCACGTGGCGTTGCTGAACCCAACATACTCGTTTCCTGCCATCTTCTTCAGAAAGGTCATGACCTGGAGGAGAAACAGAGCTGCTGATCGGCTGCTGACCGGATGCGGGGAACATTTAGGATCAGATTACTCACATAGTCAAATTTCTCTGCATTGCTGGCAGTTTGCTGCAGAGAGAACAGAAGAAGACGACAGTGAGAGGGGGTCCTCCAGCAGGGGGCAGCAGAGGACGCTAACTGCTGACAGGTTAAAGCTACAGAATTAGAAATTATTTTATCACAAATAAAAACCTAAACGCTGCAGCTTTGCCTCTATAAAGTGACGTTATTATTATGATTGGTTTCTGAATTTAAGGAGAGAAAAATCTGCCTGCAGCTGGAGATTTTAGTAGATTAGCTAATCTAGAACAACCAGATTGGCAGTGTGTGTGTGTGTGTGTGTGTAGGTGTGTGCATGGTGTGTAGTGTGTGTAGGTAGGTGTGTGTAGGTGTGTAGGT